ATAGAGATGAGGATTGGTAGATACATGTAGAACCAATAGAGAGAGGGATGGGTAAGAGACGTAGAGACAGAGAGAGAGAGGTATGGTATAGACAGGGAGAGAGATAGAGAAAGAGGTTGGGTAGGAGATTGGAGAGACCGATAGCGAGAGGGATGGGTAGAGACAGTGAGACAGAGATAGAGCGGGATGGTAGAGACCGTGCGAGAAGAGAGAGAGAGGGATGGGTAAGAGACAAGAAGAGACAGAGAGATATAGTGATTGGGTATAACAGGAGAGACAAGATATAGAGGGATGGTTAGTACATTGGAGAGACAGAGAGAGATGAGGATGGGTAGAACAGGTAGAGACATAGAGAGATAGGGATTGGTAGAGACAGGTCGAGACAGAGATAGAAGATGGTGGGGTAAGACTGGATAGACGAGAGAGAGAGGGATGGTAAGACCGGGAGAACATAGAGGAGAGAGGATGGTAGAACGACAGGGAGAGAAAGAGAGGGATGTGGAGACAGGTATAGACCGAGAGCCAGAGTGATGGGTCGAGACAGGAGAGACAGAGAAGAGGATAGGGATTGTTAGAGACAGAATAGAGAGTGATGTTAGAGACAGAGATAGAGAGAGAGAGAGGAGTAGGTATTGTTATAGACAGGGAGAACAGAGATCGAGAGTGAATGGGTAGAGACAAATAGACAGGAGGAGAGAGGAGACGAGGTATTTGTATATACACAGGTAGAGAAAAGAGAGATAATAGGGAGAGAGAGGGATGGGTAGAAGACAGAGAGCGACAGAGAGAGAGTTGTGGATGGGTAAGACAGGGATAGACGAGAGAAAGAGGGTGGGTAGAGATATTGAGAGACCAGAGAGAAGGGGTGGGTGAGACATTTCTAAATACATAGTTATAATAGATGTATGTTTTGCGACATAGAGAGACATATACATTATAGATGTATTTTGTGTATAGACACTTCCTCTCACCCTCTACTCTCCTCGCTTCAATTTTTATCTCCACCCCCTTTCTCTCCCTCGCTCTGCTTCTTTCTATTTCTCTCGCCTACCTAATCACTGGATCGCCCTCCTTCGACTCTGTCTGTTCGCGGCTGGTGGCTAGCCCCCTCTACTCTAGCGGTGCTGTTGCGGGCTACACCCGGTGTCTCGCCCAAGAGAGATAGGGATGGGGAGAGACAGGGAGAGAAACAGAGATAGAGAGGGATTGTTTTTCGCATCCCCCCCCGCCCCTTCCTCCCCTCTGCCTCTCTCTCGTGATTTTTCCTCCTCCCCTTGCTGTCTCTCCCTTCTCTCTGCGTTTTCTGTTTCTTCCCGCTTCCGCTCTGCCATCTCGTCTCTCTGTTCTTTTTCTCCCCCCTTTCTCCTCCCGCGCTTCTCTCTCTTTCTTGTCTCGCGCCATGTGTCTATCTCTGCTGGTGTCCATCTCCTTGTCGCGCGCGCATCTCTCTGCTCATTTATTCCCCCCTTGCCGCTCACGTCTCGACTCGTCGTCTGGTATCTCCCGCGCCCATTTCGAGACAGAGATAGAGAGGGATGGGTACAAGACAGGGAATAGACGAGAAGAGAGGATGGGTAGAGACAGGGCGAGACAGAAGGAGAGAGAATGGATGGGTATAGAGACAGGGAGAGACAGAGAGATAGAGGGATGGGTAGATGACAGGGAGAGACAGGAGCGAGAGAGGGATGGTTAGATACGGAGAGACAGAGAGAGAGACATGGATGGGTAGAGACAGGGAAGATACAGAGATAAGAGGGATGGGATAGTAGACAGGGAGAGCCAGAGAGAGAGAGGGATGGTTAGAGACATGGATATAAAGATCTGAAGAGCGGGATTGGTAGGAGCCGGGGAAGAGCAAGAAGAGAGAGGGATGGGGGTAGAGACAAAGGGATGAGACATAGATATAGATGTGAAATTGGTAGAGTACAAGGGAGAGACAGAGAGAGAGGAGGGATGGGTATAAGACTTGAGAGACGAGAGAAGAGAGGGCTGGGTAGAAGACGTGAGAGACAGAAGATAGAGGGATGGGTATATACATTGAGAGACAGAGAGAGAATGTGATGGGTATGACATGTTAGAGACAAGAGAGAGGTCTTGGGTAGAAAGACATGTACTAGACCAGGTCGAAGAGGTATTTGTAAGAGACACTGGAGAGACATAGAGCAGGTAATTGGGTAGAGACACAGATGTAGAGACATAGAGAAGAGTGATGGGGTAGATCCACATGGAGAGAAATGATATAGTAGAGGGATGTGTAGAGACAGGAGAGAGCAGAGAGAGAGCGGGATTGGAGAGTCCAGTTATAGACGGATAGAGAGATGGTATGGGTAGAGACCAAGAGGGATAGTCAGATAGACTATAGGGAAATTGGGTAGAGACCGGGGATATACGAGAGAGAGAGGATGGGTAGAGACACGGGAGAGACAGAGAGAGAGAGTTGGGTCGAGATCAGGGAGATGAAATAGATAGAGAGTGGATGTGTATAGACATAGATAGAGAGAGTTATGTGTTATAGACAAGTGAGAGACCTAGAGATAGAGGGATGGGTATATACAGGTATATAAAGAGAGGAGAGGGATGGGTAGAGACAGGGTGAGAGACAGAGAGAGAGAGCGGTATGTGTGAGACATGGAGAGACAGAGAGAGAGAGGGATGGGTGAGACAGGGAATAGACGAGGAGAGAGGGATCGGTAGAGACCGGCAGAGACAGAGAAGAGAGGGATGTGTAGATACAGAGAGAGACGAGATAGAGAGGGGTTGTGTAAGACGTGAGAGACAGAGATGCGAGAGGGAATGAGGGAAGGCTGGGTGTGAGACCAGGTAGGAGACAAGAGAGAGAGAGGGATGGGTATAGACAGGGATAGACAGAGAGAGAGAAGGGTTGGGTAGAAGACAAGTGAGAGACCAGGATAGAGGCATTGTTAGAGACAGGGCGAGAACATAGAGCGAGAGTGGAGATGGTAGAGACAAAAAAGTAAGACAGAGATAGATATGTATGTGATTATCTACCAGGGATAGCCCTCTCTCTCTTTTTCTTTTTCTCTCCCTTTCTCCTCCCTACTCTCTCTCTTCTTTGTCTCTCCCTTTCTCTCCCTCTCTCTTCTTTCTTGTTCTCTCCCTATTCTCTCCCGAGAGACAAAGTGATGTGTAGACAAAGGGATGACAGAGAGAGAGAGGGATGGGTCGAAGACAACAAAGGGATAGACAGAGAGAGATAGGGATGGGGTAGAGACAGGGAGAACAGAGAGAGATAGGTATGTTAGAGACCTGGAGAGACAAGAGAGGGAGGGGAGTTTAGAGACAATGGAGAGACATAAGCGAGAGTTAATGGGTATAGCAGGGAGAGACCGAGAGAGAGAGGGATTGGTAGAGACAGGAGAGACAAGAGGAGAGGATGGGTAGAGACGGGCGACAGTAGAGAGAGAGGGATGTGTAGAGAACTGGTAGAGAAAGATAGAGAGAGGGATATGTAGAGACCAGAGAGAGAGAGGGAGGGGTAGAGACAGTGAGAGACAGATAGAGAAGAAGGGATGGTTAGAGACAGTGATAGAAATAATAGATAGAGGTTAGGGTATAAGTACATATAGTCGAGATGGATTTGGTATTAACAGGGAATACAGATAGAGAGAGGGATGAGTAGAGACAGGGATATACAAGAAGAGATGATGGTAGAGAAAACCCCCATGGAGATACATAGTATAGAGAGTGATGTGGGTAGTAGACATAAGAGAGAGAGAGATGGATGGACAGGGATGAACTATACACTACAGCTTCTGAAATAATATTATTCTCCCCAGCTCCTTCCCACACCTTCCCTCACCTTCCCTCAGCTTCCCTCTCCTTCCCGCTACTTCACTCTCCTTCACTCTCCTTCCTCTCCTTCCCTCAACCCTTCCCACACCTTCCCACAACCTTCACTCACCGTCCCTCCTCAGCTTCCATTCCTTCCCGCTTCTTCCCTCAACTTCCCGCACCTTCCCTCACCTTCCCCCACTTCCCCCCACCCCCCACCATTCTCCTTCCCCCTCCCTTAAACCCTCACCTTCCCCCACCTTCCCCCACCTCCCCCAACTTCCCCCCGTCCCTCTCCCTTCCCACCCTCCCTCATCCCTTGCCCTGACCCGTCTACAAAGCACCTTCCCTCAAGCCCCCCAAAACCCCCCCCCCAAAAAAAAAAAAAAAAAAAAAAAGACCCCCCCCCCCCCCCCCCCCCCCCCCCCCCCCCCCTCTCTCCCCTGAGCCATTGTCTGCAACAGCAGACGTCTCGTCTAGCAATGTTCACTATTCAGACAGAGTTGGCCGATCTGACAGGACTTGGATGTGGTGTGCGTGTGTGTGTGTGTGTGTGTGTGTGCGCGTGTGCTTATTCTATCTCATCTATAATCCCTAGCATTTACAACAACTCGAACAAACTCCCAAACTCACTCCCTCCCTCTGCCCTTCTTACCCTTTCAAACTCCCCTTCCAACAAACAAACAAACTCCCAAACTCCCAACTCCCATCTGCCCTTCCAACCATCCTCCCCGTTTAAACCCCTTCGCTCCCATCCCCTTCCCCGTCCGTCCGTTCCCCATTACCCCCCGCTCAAGTCTTTCTCCATCCTCCAACTTCAAATCCATGCCTCCCCCCCACCGGCTGAGCGGCACATCCACCCTCCACCCCCCCCATGTAGTGCCGGCTCCCCCTGTCTACCGGATCGAGGCGACTCCCCCAAAGAATCTGCCCAGAGAACCCCGTCAGCAAGGTCGCCTGACCCCCGACCCCCCCCCGCAGGTTTTCCACGCTCAGTGACACCTCTACATGGGCCGCCAGTTCCCTACGGTTGCGAGGGATGAAGAGAAACAAGTCAAATCCCATTAGGATCCCGAATGTCCCCCGCGGCGCCCAGGTTTTTCTTCCCCTCTCTTTCCCAACATGCCGGAGACAAGTCGTTATACCTTTCCCTCTAAGCGGCTAGGAACACGAAAGGATCTATCGTTAATTTCTTCCCCGTACGATAGAGGTGTCTTACATGCCAAAACGAATGGTCCCAGCCAGGGGGCGGCGGGAAGGAGTCCACACCATGGGCGCACCGCAGACTCATACACCCCCCCACTTCTTTGTCCGAAGAGCCTCCAGTCGGGCACCTCGCTATAGTCTCGGGGTTTTACCGAGGATACGGACGGGTCGTGGCCTTCTCCGTTACAACTGCGACGTGAGAAGATAGAGGGGAGCAAGGGACGTGAGCTCGCGAAAGCCGTCTTAACTTTCTTCCAAAGGCTACCCTGCCAATACGGCGGGCTGCTCAACAAAGTGGGGAAACAACCCGTTACGAGAGGGCCAACGAGTTACTTATCGCCAAGCCCCAGCCTCTCCGGAGTCTTTCTTCCATAAAGATGGGAGTCCTCGCTGCACACCTCCCAATGCCTCCACCACGCCGCCCCCGCCTCTTCTCTCCTCTCTCTCTCTTTCTCGCTGTCCTAACAACAAACGACTGATTGTCCTTTCTTAATCTGTTTGTGTCTCTCCCGGCCATCACAGCAATCTTAATCAACCGTTAGATTTGTCTCAAAGGCTCTCTGACACTGAGTAAAGCAGAGTTTGTGTGTGTTGTGTGTGTGTGTGTGTGGTGTGTGTGTGTGTGTGTTGTGGGGTGTGTGTGTGTGTTGTGTGTGTGTGTCGTGTGTGTGTGTGTGTGTGTTTGAGTGTGTGGTGTGTGTGTGGTGTGTGTGTGTGTTTGTGTGTTTGTGACTGTAGTGTGTGTGTGTGGTGGTGTAGTGTTATGTGTGTTGTGTGTGTGTGTGTGTGTGATGTGCTCCTACTTCGGGCATGCTGATAACAGTGTGTGCTGGCGTGGCAGACATCGGCCTTCTGAGAGAACTTAACACATTCACATCATATTCCATCCCCAACGCCAAGCCAATAAGGCTTCTTAACCTCTAACACACTCTCTCCCTCTTTCACGGACGGACGGATGCGCCCACACACACACACAGTCCATGTAGATTAGCTGACGGCTATAGTTCCTTGGTTTGGCCCCTGTCAGCAGTAAGAGGATCTATAGAGGAAGTCTGAGTCCAAAATGGTACCCTATTCCCTATATAGTGGCACTAACCCCTAGAGCTCTGCTTAAACGATCGAGGGACTAGACGGGCATAGGGTTCCATTTGGGATGCAGACGAAGTTCATTTGGGTAATAGTACTTTTGGCCGAACCTTGATTTTTTTCACGTACTTATGTATTCATCAAGACAAGACAGAATCCATTCCAGATCCACATTGGAATGGAAGCAGTATCTCTTTCTCTCTCTATCACTCTATATCTCTATATATCTCTCTTGATCTCATTTCTCTTCTAATCACTCTTTTATCTCTCTTCTCTATATATGTCTCGCTCTCGACTAAAGCCGCAGTTTACTCATCTGAACAAATTCACTTTCTATGTTGGGTTGCTCACTGTCGTTCAGTCATCATAATACAGTTATTGGAAAATATTATCAGACCCCCCCAAACCCTTTAGACTTTGTTTCCACATTTTGTGTTATCGTTACCAACAACACCATCCTTATCTAAAATGGATTAAAAAATCGTTTTTTGCTGTCATCAATCTACACACACTAACCCATAATGACAAAAGCAAAAACAGGTTTTTCGAATTTTTTGCCAAATGTATAATATATATCTAATAATCATTTTCTTAATCTAGGCGCACATTTACACCAGTCTTCAGACCCCTTTACTCGTACTTTTATTGAAGCATGCACCTTTGGCAACGATTACAACTACCAAACACCCCTTACAAGCCTTTAGTCCTTCTTGGGTATTACGCTACAACTACAAGCTTGGCTCCCTTCTTCTCTGCAGATCACTCTCAAAAGCTCTTCCTGTTGGATGGGGAGTGTCGTTGCAAAGCTATTTTCCAGGTCTCTCCAAGATGTTCATCGGTTCAAGCCCGGGCTCTGGCTGGGGCATCTCAAGGACATTCAGAACTTCTCCCTAACCACTCCTGCATGTTCTTGGCTGTGTGCTTCGGTCGTTGTCCTGTGGAAGGGAACCTTCGCCCCGCGGGGTCCTGAGCGCTCTGGAAGCAGGTTTTCATCAAGGATCCTCTCTGTACTTTAGGCTCCGTTATCTTTCCGCGATCGATCCTTACTATATTCTGCACCGTTCATCTCACCTCCCAGAATGCCCTTCGCAATGACAGAGAAGAATCTTGTCAATAACTACCTCGCAGCACCCGCAAGCCCGGAAAGAATAACGAACAAAAAACTGCCATTGCATTCTATCGCAACCCTTCATTGGACCATAGCTTCACCCGTATTGATGTGCCGCCCAGGTTTCCTCCAGACGTTACGCTTGTCCTTTCGCCAAATGATTTCAATCTGGTTTCATCAGACCAGATAATCTTTTTCTCATGTCTGAGCGTCTTTATGTTCCTTTTTGGGCAAACTCCAAGCGGAGGCCTTCATGTTCCTTTTACTGAAGAGGAGTGTCTTCCGGCTGGCCACTCTACCATCAATTCTGATTGGGTGGAGTGGCTGCATCGTGGTTGTCCTTTCTGGAGGTTCTCACCATACCTTCCCATAGGAAGAACTCTGTAGTAGCTTTGTCAGAGTGAACTCTCCAATTTACCATTCCGAGGTTCCTTGGTCAGAAAAAAAGAGAGGATGGGGAGACGGGGGAAAACAGAAGAGAAGGGATGGGGGAAGACAGAGAGGGAGAGAATGGATACAGGGGGAAAAAACACTACGCTTCTGAAAAATTATTCCCCAGCTCCTTCCCAAACCTTCCCCCACCTTCCCTCACTTCCCTCTCCCTTCCCCTACTTTTTTCCTCTCCTTCACCTCCTTCCCCTCCTTCCCCCCCCTTCCCACACCTTCCCACACCTTCACTCCCCTTTCCCCCACTTCCCCCCTTCCCCTTTCCCTCAAATTTCCCCACCTTTCCCTCCCTTCCCCCCACCTTCCCCCCCCCTTCCCCTCCCCTTACCCTCCCTTCCCCCACCTTCCCCCAACTTCCCCCCCCTTTCCCCCTCCTTTTCCCCCACCTTCCCCTCTCTCTCTAGCCCCGGGCTGCAAAAGGGAACCTCTCGTCTACAACTTCACTTTTAACAGAGTTGGCCGACTAGACTTGGATTTTTGGTGGTGGGGGTTTTTGTGTTGTTTGTGGTGTTGCGCGTTTGCTTTCTTCTCTTGCTTTTCCCCCAAAATCCCCAAAAACCCTCCCCTTCCCCCCCTCTCTTCTCCCCCCTCCATCCCCCCCCCCCCCCTTTTCTTGGCCCCCTCTTTTTCCCCCCCCCCCCTCTTTCCCCCCCCCCCCTCTCTCCCTCCCCCATCCTCCCCTCGTTCCTCTCTCCTCTTTCTCTCTGTCTAAAACCCCAAAACTGATTTTCCTTTCTTTAAAATGTTTGTTTCTCCCGGCCAATCACATCTAAAACAACCTTAGAAATTGGGCTCAAAGGGTATCGACACTGAGTAAAGAGAGTTTTGGGTGTGTGTGTGGTGTTGTGTGTGTTTGGTGTGTTGTGTGTTGGGGGTGTGTGTGTTTTGTGTGTTGTGGGTTTTTGTGTGTTGTTGTGTGTGGGGGTTGTGTGTGTGTGTTGGGGGTGTGTTGTGTGGGGTTTTGGTGGGGTTGTGTGGTGTGTGGTTGTGTTGTCCGTCCCCCGGGCCCGTGTCCGGGTTTTTGGCGGTGGCCGCTGGCCTTCTGACAAAAACCGCCCAGTTTTACCCCCCGCCTCACAACTCCCCCCCACGGACAGGATGGCCCACACCACACACATCCATGTAAATTCTACGGCTATAGTTTTTCCTGGTTTTGGCCCCTTTCCAGCATTAAAAGATCTTAGAGGAGCCCGATTTCCCAAAATGGTACCCTATTCCCTATATAGTGCACTACCCATAGAGCTCTGCTTAAACGTAGGGGACTATGGAGGGAATAGGGTTCCATTTGGGATGCAGACGAAGTTCATTTGGGTAATAGTACTTTTGGCCGAACCTTGATTTTTTTCACGTACTTATGTATTCATCAAGACAAGACAGAATCCATTCCAGATCCACGTTGGAATGGAAGCAGTATCTCTTTCTCTCTCTATCACTCTATATCTCTCTATATCTCTCTTGATCTCTTTCTCTCTATCACTCTTTATCTCTCTTTCTCTATATATCTCTCTTTCTCTCTAACTCTGTCTGTGTTGCTCACTGTCTCTAGGCATATATACAGTATATTCGGAAAATATTCAGACCCCTTGACTTTTTTCCACATTTTGTTACGTTACAGCCTTATTCTAAAATGGATTAAATCGTTTTTTGCTGTCATCAATCTACACACAATAACCCATAATGACAAAGCAAAAACAGGTTTTTAGAATTTTTTGCAAATGTATATATATATATATATATATATTTTGTTATATATAGCACATTTACACAAGTATTCAGACCCTTTACTCAGTACTTTATTGAAGCACCTTTGGCAACGATTACAGCCTTTAGTCTTCTTGGGTATGACGCTACAAGCTTGGCTCCCATTCTTCTCTGCAGATCCTCTCAAGCTCTGTCATGTTGGATGGGGAGTGTCGTTGCAAAGCTATTTTCAGGGTCTCTCCAAAGATGTTCGATCGGGTTCAAGCCCGGGCTCTGGCTGGGCATCTCAAGGACATTCAGAGACTTCTCCCGAAGCCACTCCTGCATTGTCTTGGCTGTGTGCTTAGGGTCGTTGTCCTGTTGGAAGGTGAACCTTCGCCCCAGTCGGAGGTCCTGAGCGCTCTGGAGCAGGTTTTCATCAAGGATCTCTCTGTACTTTGCTCCGTTCATCTTTCCCTTGATCCTGACTAGTCTCCCAGTCCCTGCCTCTGAATAACATCCCCACAGCATGATGCTGCCACCACCATGCTTCACCGTATTGATGGTGCCAGGTTTCCTCCAGACGTGACGCTTGGCATTCAGGCCAAAGAGTTCAATCTTGGTTTCATCAGACCAGATAATCTTGTTTCTCATGGTCTGAGAGTCTTTAGGTGCCTTTTGGCAAACTCCAAGCGGGCTATCATGTGCCTTTTACTGAAGAGTGGCTTCCGTCTGGCCACTCTACCATAAAGGTCTGATTGGTGGAGTGCTGCAGAGATGGTTGTCCTTCTGGAAGGTTCTCCCATCTCCACAGAGGAACTCTGTAGCTTTGTCAGAGTGACCATCAGGTTCTTGGTCACCTCGTTGACCAAGGCCCTTCTCCCCTGATTGCTCAGTTTGGCAAGGCGGCCAGCTCTAGGAAGAGTCTTGGTGGTTCCAAACTTCTTCCATTTAAGAATGATGGAGGCCACTGTGTTCTTGAGGACTTTCAATGCTGTAGACATTTTCTGGTACCCTTCCCCAGATCTGTGCCTCGACACAATCCTATCTCGGAGCTCTACAGACAATTCCTTCGACTTCATGGCTTTGGTTTTGCTCTGACATGCACTGTCAACAGTGGGACCTTATATAGACAGCTGTCTGCCTTTCCAAATCATGTCCAATCAATTGAATTTAGCACAGGTGGACTCCAATCAACTTGTAGAAACATCTCAAAAATGATCAATGGAAAATGGATTCACCTGAGCTCAATTTCTAGTCTCATAGCAAAGGGTCTGAATACTTGCTTTGCCATTATGGGGTTTTGTGTGTAAAAAATAATAATATATATATACATGTAGATATATTTTATCCATTTTAGAATAAGGCTGTAAAGTAACAACATGTGGAAAAAGTCAAGAGGTCTGTATACTTTCCGAATGCACTGTATAAATGCCTAGAGACAGTGAGCAACACAGACAGAGTTAGAGAGAAAGCGAGATATAGAGTGATAGAGAGAGAGAAAGAGATACTGCTTCCATTCCAATGTGGATCTGGAATGGATTCTGTCTTGTCTTGATGAATACATAAGTACATGAAAAAAAAAACCTGAATGTTATTTGGACAATTGAATGTGTGTGTGTTGTACTTTCCCTTCAGTATGCAGCATCACATTTCATTACATCATTGTATCATTGCACTAAAATCAGGCTCATTGCACCATCGGACAGGAATAGCTTTTTCAGAGATTTATTTGATCAAATGCAAACGTGTAGTGTATTTTAGTTTTTAAAAGGCTTCTAAAGTTTATTTTCCACTTTGAAATTGCATACTTGATTTCCCCTAATGAAAAATTAATCAGCCCCTAAAAAAATGTCCATTAATTATAATCCACATAGCAATTAACATTTCCTGTTGCTGCAGAATTATTTTCTTGCTGTAGTAAACTGGCTCAAATTAAGATCCTACATCTGTACACACTGCAGAGGCACGAACACTGATGAAAAGCATGATTCAGGTGAGAGAACTCACCGTGGGAATGGAGCGGAGGAGGAGAGGGGGGTGACAAAGAGCGCGTGGGCCGGAGAGTTTCCTGCACGAAAGGTGTGATGATGTAATTGTGTTCTGAGAGAGAGAGAGAGGATGAGATAGGAGAAGAGATGAGGAGATAGATAGATAGAGGAGAGAGACGAGAGAAGAGATATAAGAGAGAGAAGAGAAGAGGGAGACTCAAAGAGAGCTCAGCGAGAGAGAAACATAGAGGCAGAGAGACATAAAGAGAGCGAGAGAGAGAGAGAGAGAGAGAGAGAGAGAGAGACATAGAGGCAGAGAGAGCGAGAGACATATGAGCGTGCATGTGTCTGTTAGTTAATCTCAAGCCTGAGAATCACCCACTACACCATTAGATATAACCACCCAATTATACCCACAATTACATACCACCCTCTATCTTATACCACCCGAGATAGACCACCCGAGATAGACCACCCTAAGATACCACACGAGAAAGCAACCCGAGAGATACCACCCTATATATACCACCCTATATATACCACCCTATATATACCACCCTATATACCACCCTATATATACACAGCACTATATATACCACCCTATATATACACACAACACCATATATATACTGTATATATATATACACACACCACTCTATATATACCACCCTATATATACCACCCTATATACACACACCACTCTATACATACCACCCTATATACAGCTCTGGAAAAAATTAAGAGACCACTGCACATTTTTCTTAAATCAGCATCTCTACATGTATGACAGCCACTCCATTCCAGTGTCTGTTGAATTACAACACAGGCACACCTCATTCTACTGAATTAGGTACTGATTAGGTGATCACCTGAACCTAATCTTATTTAATGAGGAAAAGTATAAAAACCACTGCTGTGGTCATCACTATCCTCTTGCAATAGGACCAGCTGGATGGCAAAAACAGTGCTAATAGTACCTCAAACGTAATATTAATCAAAAAATAACTATTGACCTTGCCAAAAGAGTTGAAAAGGAACGTTTTGAGTGAGGAAAAGAAGGGTTCAATTCTGGCTTTACTGGCAGAGGGATACAGTGAGCGTCAGGTTGCTTCCATCCTTAAAATTTCAATGATGGCGGTTCATAAGAACAAGGTCAAGCAGCAGACATTGGGGACAACAAAGCTACAGACCGGCAGAGGGCGAAAACGACTCTCTACTGACCGGGATGACCGCCAATTCATTCAAATGTCCCTCAACAACCGTAGGATGACATCAAGTGACCTACAAAAATAATGGTAAACGGCAGCTGGGGTGAAGTGCACGGCGAGGACGGTTCGAAACAGGCTCCTAGGGGCAGGGCTGAAGTCGCGCAAAGCTAGAAAAAAGCCCATCTTCAATGAGAAGCAAAGAAGAGCCAGGCTGAGGTTTGCAAAAGACCATAAGGATTGGACCGTAGAGGATTGGAGTAAGGTAATCTTCTCTGATGAGTCCAATTTTCAGCTTTGCCCAACACCTGGTCGTCTAATGGTTAGACGGAGACCTGGAGAGGCCTACAAGCCACAGTATCTCACACCCACTATGACATTTGGTGGAGGATCGGTGATGATCTGGGGGTGCTTCAGCAAGGCTGGAATTGGGCAGATTTGTCTTTGTGAAGGACGCATGAATCAAGCCATGTACAAGGTTGTCCTGGAAGAAAACTTGCTTCCTTTTGCTCTGACATTGTTCCCCAACTCTGAGGATTGTTTTTTCCAGCAGGACAATGCGCCATGCCACACAGCCAGGTCAATCAAGGTGTGGATGGAGGACCACCAGATCAAGACCCTGTCATGGCCAGCCCAATCTCTAGACCTGAACCACATTGAAAACTTCTGGAATGTGATCGAGAGGAAGATGGATGGTCACAAGCCATCAAACAAAGCCGAGCTGCTTGAAATTTTGCGCCAGGAGTGGTATAAAGTCACCCAACATCAATGTGAAAGACTGGTGGAGAGCATGCCAAGACGCATGAAAGCTGTGATTGAAAATCAGGGTTATTCCACCAAATATTGATTTCTGAACTCTTCCTAAGTTAAAACATTAGTAATGTGTTGTTTAAAAATGAACATGAACTTATTTTCTTTGCATTATTCGAGGTCTGACAACACTGCATCTTTTTTGTTATTTTGACCAGTTGTCATTTTCTGCAAATAAATGCTCTAAATGACAATATTTTTTATTTGGAATTTGGGAGAAATGTTGTCAGTAGTTTATAGAATAAAACAAAAATGTTATTTTTACCCAAACACATACCTATACATAGTAAAACCAGAGAAACGGATAATTTTGCAGTGGTTTCTTAATTGTTTTCCACAGCTGTATATACACAACACTATATATACCACCCTATATATACAACACTATATATACCACACTATATCTACCACCCTATATATATACAACACTATATATACCACCCTATATATACAACACTATATATACTACCCTATATATACCACCCTATATATACAACACTGTATATATTACCCTATATATACACAACACTATATATACCACCCTATTTTCTATTTATATTATACTAGTGCCCCTGCAAATAGTTTCTTACCTCCATTAATTAATCGTTAATTGAAGGGAAGGTCCTCTGTAGCTCAGCTGGTAGAGCACGGCGCTTGTAACGCCAAGGTAGTGGGTTCGATCCCCGGGACCACCCATACACAAAAAAATGTATGCACGCATGACTGTAAGTCGCTTTGGATAAAAGCGTCTGCTAAATGGCATATTATTTATCATTGATCACAGAACTAATGCAACATGTGGACCATTGAAGTCATTTGCTGATGCACTGATAATGGTTTCTGTTTTATGACATGTCATATGCATGTACAATTAATGGGGGGGAGCTGACACACACACTCTACCATTACATTAAGAGAAGTGCAGAAAACACACCACATCAGCTGATATCTATAGACTGAGAATATAGGCCTGTCTAAAGCCTGTTTGTTGGTTACTGGGTAGCTGCTAGGGGTTTGTGTCATATGATGCAGTATGAGCTCGTTAAAAACAGACAACCTTCACCAGCTACAAACCACAGAACAAACCACAGAGTACTCAATGATAGAGAGAATACATGTGAGTTTTTCAGCGAGTGTTTTTTTTGGGCTGTTTTGAGGGATGACTTAGTTTATATAAATTTTATACAGTATGTTTAGAGATATGGACGCAATGAGTTGCGACCAGGTTCCGCACTTGATCTCAACTGCGCTGGGATGAAGGGACAAAGTGCATGCAGTTCGGTAAGAGTGTCTGTCTTTATGTCTGTCTGTCTGTTTGTCCGCAGAATCTGTACGCACCACTTCGACCTTGGGGTGTGTGTGTGCGCGCGCCCCCTGCATGCGTGCGTGTGTACGGAATCCAGAGATGGAAGGACGATTCAAGAGTGTGAAATGCACGTTCCCATCCCATCAATATCCCACCCACCCGTTTGCCTGCTTCCCCGGCCCCGTCCTCCCCCGTTCTACCGATCTGGTCGTGTTGTTTATGAAAACCGGAGAAACCGGATTTCATTATCAATATTCCTTCAGTGATTCACAGAACCCAGCGACACAGCATGACTGTAGTGAGCTTCTGACGTCAGCAGGGGAGAATCATCGAATCGTCCGCAGCGCGTCCAATGAGCGGTGTGCATAGGCTACATGCTGGAGGAGAGCGGCAAGCGGCAGAGGCGGTGAAACTGCCGAGTGTTGAAGCGATGCTGACGAAGGGATAGCGGCAGAGATCCGCACCAAGCTCCTCTCTTCAAGGACTACTCTACATAAAATATTTTGCATTTTTATCCAGCGGTGTAAAAGAGGGAAAAGGACACAAAGAACAGGTAATTTAAATATATTTTGTATTATTATTCTCTGCCTATCTCTGTGGCGTTGTCTCTCTCTCTCTCTCTCCTCTCTCCATCCCCATCTATATCCCCCCTCTTCTCTCTCCCTTCTCTGTCTCTCTCTCTCTCGCTTGCTCTACAGTCACGGACTGCGCTTGGGAAAAAGCAATGCAGTTGAATGAAACTGGGGTATTGTTAGCGCAAATGGAATGATGCTACGTCTTTAGCCTACATATACATATGTTGATGTGTTTATTAATAGATCGTTTGTTGACAATAAAACACAATAATTTAAAAGAATTGATGTATAGATAGAAACCATCAAAAGGAACATTTATTGCAGTTTAGTGACCTCAGTCCTGTGTGTGTGTGCGCGCGCGTGTGTGCCTGTACGCGCGTTCGTGTGCGTACGTGCATGGGAGAGAGGTAGGGGAAGGATGGAGGGAGGGAGGGAGGGAAGAGAGGAGACGAGAAATTTGTGAATGGAGCTTGCTGGTTTGGCGCGCACTGGCGGAGTTAAAATTAGCTCGGTGATTTCTGTCTGCGCAACTCTAGAATCAGAAGGATCTCGCGGATTCTAAGCGCTGCTGCGCGCTTGCGTTCATATTTGGGATATTTTGGCATCTCTGTGCGTGCTTTGTTCTTTATATAAAACCGTGTTTAACGTTTTTCTAAAAATAGAATCCTTCACTGCAAGGTGATGACTCCAAGCCTAGGAGGATGGCTCTATTTCAGACACATATGTCTGGTAAGAATACAACACAATGATTTTGTTTTCGCTTTGATTTGGATATGTTTTAGATGTTGCTGTTGGTTCTCATATTTAGCCTACTGTTTCATAAGGTTAGGTTATTGCTGTTCCATTCAGTAGGAACAAAAGGAAAGCAATTTCAAGATGATTCAATACAGAATCGAGAAAAGCCATACAAGACTGTGTCAGCACAAGAAGTGTTAGTCGGGAGCTTCATGAAATGGGTTTCCATGGCCGAGCAGCTGCACACAAGCCTAAGATCACCATGCGCAATGCCAAGCGTTGGCTGGAGTGGTGTAAAACTTGCTGCCATTGGACTCTGGAGTAATGAATCACACTTCACAATCTGGCAGTCCGACGGACGAATCTGGGTTTGGCGGATGCCAGGAGAGCGCTACCTGCCCTAATACATAGTGCCAACTGTAAAGTTTGGTGCAGGAGAAATGATGGTCTGGTGCTGTTTTTCATGGTTTGGGCTAGGCCCCTTAGTTCCAGTGAAGGGAAATCTTAACGCTACAGCATACAATGACATTCTGGACGATTCTGTGCTTCCAACTTTGTGGCAACAGTTTGGGAAAGGCCCTTTCCTGTTTCAGAATGACAATGCCCCTGTGCACAAAGCGAGGTGCAAACAGAAATGGTTTGTCAAGATTGGTGTGGAAGAACTTGACTGGCCTCCACAGAGCCCTGACCTCAACCCCATCGAACACCTTTGAGATTAGCCAGGCCTAATCGCCCAACATCAGTGCCCGACCTCGCTAATGCTCTTGTGGCTGAATGGAAGCAAGTTCCCGCAGGAATGTTCCAACATCTAGTGGAAAGCATTCCCAGAAGAGTGGAGGCTGTTATAGTAGCAAAGGGGGGGACCAACTCCGTATTAATGCCCATGATTTTGGAATGAGATGTTCGACGAGCAGGTGTCCACATACTTTTGGCCATGTAGTGTATTATAGAGGTCAGTCCTTTTGGGTGCCCAGATAATTTAATTAGAAATCCCATCATTGGATGGTTCGGTAGTTGGGTTTCTCAAGGGACTCCATAGGCCAGCATAGCTGACATAACCATATTACACTGTCCATATTACCTTGTTTAAGGGATAAATCAGTGAAGACCACCTCTTCCAGGACAATAGAAGGCAAATAATCATGTCTAAACCAATTTAGGATGGAGCGAAATGCTAGTGCCTGGAAATACAATTTAAAGTTTGGTACGGATAGTCCTCCTTTGTCTTTCCCACTTTGTAAGTTTGATAATTTTAGCAGAGATTGCTTACCTTGCCATATGAATTTTGAATCCTCACTATGAATTGTATCCCAATAGCCAGAAGGGGGAGACATGGGAATCATTGAACTACAGAAATTCAGCCGTGGCAATATATTCAATAGATATTCTGCTGTTTAAACTGGGATGTTAGTCCGTCTATTGAGGTCGGATTGAATTTATTTGAGAATTCTGTTAAAGTTTCTGGCAATGGTTTTATCTAAGGAAGGAAATATATATTCCCAAATATTTAAAATGGGAAACGATGGGGATTCCATAAGTAGAGATGGAGTCCTCCATCGGGTCTTGAGAGGCAGTAGGGCAGATAGGTAGATTCATTTTATAATTTGAGATTAAGCTGAATTTATATATGATCTTTAATGTGTTTAGGAGCGATCAAGATGCATTGTCTAGACATAGTATTGTCTGCGTATAATGAGATTAAGTGATCAGTAGATTTGAGGGAAATGGGTGTTATTTCCTTTGATTGACGATTTGCCTGGGCCAGGGGTTCCATGGATAATAAAAATAGCAAAGGAGAAATTGGATCACCCTGTCTGCTGCTTCTAGGGATTCTGAATGAAGCATAGCACATATTGCCTGTTGTGCTATGGCTGAGGGATTGGCAAATAGTATTTTAATCATATTAATGAAGACAGACCAGAGATATGACCATTCAAAGCCTTTTCTGCATCGAGAGATAAAACAGCCCAAGGAGCTGTTGTTTCTGATGAAGCATTTAAGATATGTAATAGTTGACGGAGGTTCTCCGATGATAAACTTTTTTTTAACAAACCCGCTTTGGTCTGTGTGGACCAATTTGGGGTAAGTAAACCTCGAGACTGGACGACAACATTTTGGAAAACATTTTAAATATCTGTGTTTATCAAAGATAGGGGGCGATAGTGAGAACACTGGGTGGCATCCTTACCATTTTTTAATACATCTGAAATTAGTGCTGTATTCACATCTCTCCCTAACGAACCTCTGTAAACGGCTATGTTAATCATTTCGAGCAATACTGGACCTAATTGATTCCAACATTTTAATTACACCTCAGCGAGAATACCATCCTATCCAAACGATTTGCCTTTATTCATGCTATCCAATGCTCTTTTGAGTTAATCGAGAGAGAGAGTTGGGCTCCCAGCGATGTGGCTTCTTCTGTTGAGAGAAGAGAAGTTCTTAATTATTTTAAAAAAGGACTTAGTCTGGCTTGGTGTGGATTTATGATCGGAGGTGTACAGTTCTTTATAGAAGCGGGACAGTCTTTGATTGATTAATTTGGGTTCTGATAGTAATTCTCCTGTTTCAGATACAATAGTTGCTATATCAGTTAATTGATCACGACTGCGTAGCTGATTGGCCAGTAAACAGGAAGTAATGGTTGAGTCTAACTCGATGGATGGCAAATTCTTCTCTCTGTCTTATCAATAAATAAAGTTCTGCCTTGACTTTGGAAAGAGTAATAGCTACAATGAGGGAAAATTATTTGATCCCCTGCTGATTTTGTATGTTTGCCCACTGACAAAGAAATGATCAGTCTATAATTTTAATGGTAGGTTTATTTGAACAGTGTGAGACAGAATAACAACAAAAAAATCCAGAAAAACGCATGTCAAAAATGTTATCAATTGATTTTGGATTTTAATGAGGGAAAAAAGTATTTGACCCCTCTGCAAAACATGACTTAGTACTTGGTGGCAAAAACCTTGTTGGCAATCACAGAGGTCAGACGTTTCTTGTAGTTGGCCACCAGGTTTGCACACATCTCAGGAGGGATTTTGTCCCACTCCTCTTTGCAGATCTTCTCCAAGTCATTAAGGTTTCGAGGCTGATGTTTGGCAACTCGAACCTTCAGCTCCCTCCACAGATTTTCTATGGGATTAAGGTCTGGAGACTTGCTAGGCCACTCCAGGACCTTAATGTGCTTCTTCTTGAGCCACTCCTTTGTTGCCTTGGCCGTGTGTTTTGGGTCATTGTCATGCTGGAATACCCATCCACGACCCATTGCCCTGTCTGAGGGAAGGAGGTTCTCACCCAAGATTTGACGGTACATGGCCCTGTCCATCGTCCCTTTGATACGGTGAAGTTGTCCTGTCCCCTTAGCAGAAAAACACCCCCAAAGTATAATGTTTCCACCTCCATGTTTGGGATGGTGTTTTTGGGGTCATAGGCAGCATTCCTCCTCCTCCAAACACAGCGAGTTGAGTTGATGCCAAAGAGCTCGATTTTGGTCTCATCTGACCACAACAATTTCACCCAGTTCTCCTCTGAATCATTCAGATGTTCATTGGCAAACTTCAGATGGGCATGTATATGTGCTTTCTTGAGCAAGGGGACCTTGCGGGCGCTGCAGGATTTCAGTCCTTCACGGCGTAGTGTGTTACCAATTGTTTTCTTGTTGACTATGGTCCCAGCTGCCTTGAGATCATTGACAAGATCCTCCCGTGTAGTTCTGGGCTGATTCCTCACCGTTCTCATGATCATTGCAACTCCACGAGGTGAGATCTTGCATGGAGCCCCAGGCCGAGGGAGATTGACAGGTGTTTTGTGTTTCTTCCATTTGCAAATAATCGCACCAACTATTGTCACCTTCTCACCAAGCTGCTTGGCGATGGTCTTGTAGCCCATTCCAGCATTGTGTAGGTCTACAATCTTGTCCCTGACATCCTTAGAGAGCTCTTTGGTCTTGGCCATGGTGGAGAGTTTGGAATCTGATTGATTGATTGCTTCTGTGGACAGGTGTCTTTTATACAGGTAACAAACTGAGATTAGGAGCACTCCCTTTAAGAGTGTGCTCCTAATCTCAGCTCGTTACCTGTATAAAAGACACCTGGGAGCCAGAAATCTTTCTGATTGAGAGGGGTCAAATACTTATTTCCCTCATTAAAATGCAAATCAATTCATAACATTTTTGACATGCGTTTTTCTGGATTCTTTTGTTGTTATTCTGCCTCTCACTGTTCAAATAAACCTATCATAAAAATTATAGACTGATCATTTCTTTGTCAGTGGGCAAACGTACAAAATCAGCAGGGGATCAAATACTTTTTTCCCTCACTGTACCTGGTCTGAAAAAAGTGTTTGTTGAGAATGTACTGACACAGTTAACAACATTTGCAATTCGGATATCTTCTTTAATTGTGATTTATTCAACCCAGATGCAAATGCTGTTGCATTATTTTTAATAAAACCTTTGGTGGCATCCCATAGAATCCGAGGATCATCGACTGAATTTATATTGATAATTAGGAATTCATTTAGTTACATTTCAAATTGAATCGCCATCTTGTGGCTCTTTTAGGAGATTCTGACATTTGTAATTGGCAGTATTAGGCGTGGTGATCGGAAAAGCTCGTGTCGAATTTCTATTTTTTTTATTTTAGAATATAGAGATGTAGATAAAAATATAAAATCGATTTGGGAGAATGTTTTATGCCTGTTTGAGTAGAAAGTGTACTCATTTGCTTTTGGATTACTAAAGACGTTTCCGTGAAAAAAACGATTTTGGGAATGTCTCATGGTCTGACAAACACCGCTTTAGCTCGGCCACCTTCCACCGCAGACATAGGCGGATGCGGTGGATTGATGCATTGACCCATGCAAAACAGATATCTCTAGCTTAAAACTGACGGATTTTGATGGGGATTATTTTATTACATTACTTAGATTGATGCACGGGTGCATTAATAGAGGCAATTTTCTTTCCATTATGGATACATTTTAAGAAAAGTGATTCTGCCTTCTTGGTCGTCGCCTTTACCCAAGATGGTGATTTAGAGTTTCTTCTTTTGAATCATTATGATTACACCTTTAGTTTTGTTTAGGACTGATGAAAAAGCAGCCAGTTTGTACAAATTGTTCTGCATTCTATGTGACATCCTTATGGAGCAGGTGTGTTTCCTGGAGCATTGCTATATCAACATGGTTTCTTAATAGGATTTCAAGACAGCTGGAACGTTTGATAGGACCGTTTAGATCTTTCAAATTCCAAGAGATAATAGCTAGTGTTGCCATGGTTTTTCAGAAAGGAATGATATGTTAATGATATAATTAGGAATTTGAAAGGATTTATAGCATTAACTTTTACTTTTGATACTTAAGTATATTTAAAACCAGATACCTTTAGACTTTTACTCAAGTAGTATTTTACTGGGTGACTTTCACTTTTACTTGATCCATTTTCTATTAAGGCACGTGTCCAACTCATTCCACGAAGGGCCGAATGTCTGCGGGTTCCCTTGTACTTGATTGATGAATTAAGTTCACGGATTAGTAAGGAACTCCCCTCTCCTGGTTGTCTAGGTCTTAATTGAAAGGAAAAACCAAAAACCAGCAGACGCTAGGCCCTCCATGGAATGAGTTTGACCCCTGTATTAAGGTATCTATACTTTAACTCAAGTATGGCAATTGGGTACTTTTCCCACCACTGATGGATGGTTGGATGGATGGATGAATAGATAGATGGATATATGGATAGATGAAGGGAGCGTTTGTTTTTATTTGAGAAGTGAATCATTGCATTATTCCTCTGTAGTGATGGACACCTCTGCTATCACTCTCTCTCTCTCTCTCTCTCTCTCTCTCTCTCTCTCTCTCTCTCTCTCTCTCTCTCTCTCTCTCTCTCTCTCTCTCTACCTTCCCCTCTACATCCTTCCCCTCTCCCACAACTCTCCCCTCATCTCTCCCACCTTGACTCATCTCCTCCTTTCCCTCTCCAGCATGATGTACTACAGTACCCATAATGCTCTGTATTCTGTATCTGGTTTGATCTACTAAACACGTTCCTAAAGCTAACACTATGGTGTCCCGTCTCCTTATTAATACAGCCTACTCTCTCTTCTTCTTCTTCTTCTTCTTCTTCTTCTTCTTCTTCTTCTTCTTCTTCTTCTTCTTCTTCTTCTTCTTCTTCTTCTTATTCTCCCCCCTTTACCTCCCTCCATCCAGATATGATCCTCTCCCTAGCTGCAGCTATGAGCAGCGGCGGCATCCCCCAGAACACTACTTCCTCCTCGACCTTTGACCCCTCGTCCCTGGACCCCTGGCTTGACCCCTACCCTGACCCCTACCCTGACCTCCCCGGGGTTAACGCCTCCTCCTCCGCCGTCCCCGGCCGCACCTATAACTCCGACCTTGACTTACGACCTCTGACCTCACAACAGGTTAGACATGATGTCATCAAGTTTAGTTTACTTTTATGTTGTGATTGGCTGATTTCATTGCTTTAAAAAAAAATCTTACTGGATAAGTATAGTGACCTTTGGGTGTTTTGAGGATTGCTTAACATATAAATGCTCATTATTGTTGTTGTAGTTGGTATGATTATGATGATTTGTATTGTTATTGTTATTGTTATTGTTATTATGGCGATGATAATCATGGTAATGGCGATGATAATCATGGTAATGATATGATGATGAATATTGTCATCAACAGGATGTCAGCCCATGGGATGTGGCGTTATGTGTCACGGGTACCCTCATCGCCTGCGAGAACACTCTGGTCATCGCCGTCCTCTTCTACACACCGACCCTCCGAGCCCCGATGTTCATCCTGATTGGCTCGCTGGCATTCGCCGACCTCCTGGCGGGTCTCGGTCTCATCCTGAACTTTGTGTTCACCTATCTTGTCGAGGGAGAGGTCGTGACCTTGGTTGCCACAGGGATACTCATCGCGGCGTTCTCGGCGTCCATCTTGAACATCCTGGCGATCACCGTGGACAGGTACGGTGATATTTATGTCTCTCTTTATATCTTATGATTATAATTGCAGGGATACAGACATTTTCTCATTTTCTGACTTTGCTGATAGCTGCTTTGTTGAGAAAAGTTATACTAACAATGACAGTGATATGTGGTGTAGTTGAATGATATCTTTGTATTTTTTAGCATTTGCTAAAGGACCAAAATGTAAACGTGAATGTAAATTGTTGCTCTGTAGCTCAACTAGTGCATGAGTAAAACACGGACTGGACTTCGAGTAATGTTCACTGTGTTACAGGTACCTGTCGCTGTACAACGCGTTGACCTACCACACGGAGCGGACTGTCCTCTTCACATACCTGGTGGTAGGGGTCATCTGGTTGGTGTGTCTGGTCCTCGGCGTCCTCCCTGCGCTCGGGTGGAACTGCCTAGATGACCAATCAACGTGCTCAGTCTGTCGACCAGTCACCAAATCCAACGCAGTCGCCCTCGCCGTCTTCTTCCTACTGGTTTTCGCGTTGATGATGCAACTCTACCTACAGATCTGTCGGATCGCGTTCCGTCACGCTCAGCAAATCGCAGTCCAGCATCAGTTCCTCGCTATTTCCACGACCAAAGGAGTCCAGACGCTCTCCGTGATTCTCTGTGCCTTCGCCATGTGTTGGCTACCATTTGCTATGTATTGTATCGTGGCGGATTCGAGCTATCCTATCATATATACATACACTACGGTGCTGCTGGCGGCGTGTAATTCAGTCATAAATCCTATTATATATGCGTTCAGGAACCCGGATATACAGAAGGGGCTGTGGTTGGCGTGTTGTGGATGTGTCCCGTCAAATCTGAGTCTGAGACCTCGAGCCAGAACCTCCAGTAATGTATAGGGAACCTGGACATACAGAATTGTTTATGGCTACGACCCCTCCAACCTCTCCCTCCGGCCCTGGACCTCCAGCAACGTATAGGGAGGGGGTGTAGCGGCGTATAGAAGGGGTGCAGGGTGAATGACGGTATTGGAGAAGGTGTGGGTGTACGCCCCTAGCTCTGTGACCCAGGGCCTCCAGCAAACCTGGACATCCAGAAGAGACTGTGGTGGTGACATCACGGGGCAAGGTGATGACCCCCCTCCTAGGACCTCCAGTGAGGGGGTAAGCTTTAGGGAGAGGATTCAGTGAGGTCAAAGGTGACCCCCAAGGCAAGAGGGAGGGTGTGTGGTGGTGACGTGGCAAAGTCACCCCCTTCCCACCATTTCAACAGGGTCTAGAGCAGTGTTGCAGGAGCAGATGTGGCTCTCCAAGGATGACTGGACTGAGAAAGTCTGGGATGGTTTGCCCTGGGCCTGGGCTATACTGTAACCCACTGGATAGAAGTGGTGGTTCAGATCTGTGACTGTGTGGGGCTGAGGTTAAACGCTTTACAATGCTGCTTCAGTGGGGGATCATAGGCCTCTAAAAGGCTACTCGTTCAGAGGGTGAGCACGAGTAGTACAGCCTAAGGAGAGGCCTCAATGATAGATGAGCTAACTTACAATGAGCTAACTTACTTATGATGAGCTAACTTACTTATGATGAGCTAACTTACAATGAGCTAACTTACTTATGATGAGCTAACTTATTTAAGATGAGCTAACTTACTTATGATGAGCTAACTTACTTATGATGAGCTAACTTACAATGAGCTAACTTACTTATGATGAGCTAACTTACAATGAGCTAACTTACTTATGATGAGCTAACTTACAATGAGCAAACTTACTTATGATGAGCTAACTTACAATGAGCTAACTTACTTATGATGAGCTAACTTACAATGAGCTAACTAGCCAACAATGGTAATGTGTGTTAGGTGAGAATACTACGACCTTGAGGTTTTCACTGAAGTCTTTGAGACATCATTCAAAACCTTATAAACTATCATGCCACAATGATCTTGTTGCTGATGGCTAAAGCCCTTGGTAGAACACGCATAACAGACAGACAGACAGACAAACACACAAAGCCAATATAAAGTCTAATTCATGGTTACCCTTGGAGGAAAAAAAAAACATACATTTTTAGAAAAGCCCACAAGCCCCTAAAAGTTTCCCTGTTATTACCAATGCCTCTGATATGGTTCCAGGGCTTTAGGAAACTTAGACTTTATCTTAGAGAAATGGCTACAACTGAATGTTATCTAATAGGAATGTTATTACCAATGCTATCAACAAAAAACTAACAGTTTTAGAGCTACTAAAGCAATCTGCTGTATGTTGCCGACCTACAGTCATGAGGTATAGTCCCCTGTAGCTCAGTTGGTAGAGCATGGTGCTTGCAACGCCAGGGTTGTGGGTTCGATTCCCACGGGGGGCCAGTATGAAAATGTATGCACTCACTAACTGTAAGTCGCTCTGGATAAGAGCGTCTGCTAAATGACTAAAATGCAAATGTAAAAATGTATAGAAATACAATTCAGTACTAGAATTCCTAGAATAACAGGGCATCTCCATTCAAGTCATCGTTCTAGTAATTCAATTTCTATGGTTATTACCATCCCGAGAAACACACCGGGCATCTAAAACTGTTTCAGCACCACGGACAGCGAAACACAGCGCCAAGCCATTGCCAAGCTCATTTCAGCACCACGGACAGCGAAACACAGCGCCAAGCCATTGCCAAGCTCATTTCAGCACCATGGATAGTGACCAGTGAGCTCATGCTTGTAGTCCCTACTTGATTCTGCTCTATGGTCAGTTTTGCATTTTCCCCCTTACTGATTAATTTAACAATTTGGAAAGTGTAATCTGATTCTAGATCTGTGTCTAAGCCCAGGGAAATTCTACCCGGAGCCAGCTTACCAGACCGCCATTTTCACACATCTCACTTGTTGTACGGTTGAATAATGCATTGGAAAATAGGCCTGGTGTAGAGAGAAGGAGCAAGCATAGCCCCCCGTGAGTTGAAGATGAACACGATCTTTCCAGACAGACAGAGAGAGAGAGGTGACAAAACGTGTTTCACAGCTGGGGCCTTTGGTGGAGTTTTGATCATGATGCGGTGTGGTGGGATCTACCGTTCTAAATGACGCGGTGGGTTCTAACCATTCTAGTTCTAACTAATGGTTCTAAATGACAGCAGATGGAGTCTGTCATATCACTGTCATATCTGGCTAGTATCCTTTTAGAATGATCATAGGTTGAAAGTATTGTGTGACAGGCAATCACAACAATTAATAGGTCTATTCATCTGAATTAGATATAATTTGAAATAATTTGATATCATTAATGGGAGTTCAAATTACATTTCAACTGGGCCTATTGAATATGTACACGTAGGTTTAGAAGCATTGATTTAGACAGACAAGTAAAATGATAATGATTGATCAACCCACGTCTGAAAACCTACAATGTAAACAGTATATTGACTACCCTTCATGTCAGGTGAAGTGAACATGGATCCAAATCCAATAGGGTTATATTGATTAGCTGGCGATGCATGGACATTAGACAACAGCAGCACACCAGAACGGAATGCAGGAGCAGACTGGGACCAGAAATCGGCCCTGGCATTTCTAACACACCGGTCCATTTCTTTCCTTGAGCCCTCATTATTAGCCAGATAATGATAATTTTGCACTTCAAAACCCAAGTTAGACAGGCCCACTGGGCTAAAAATGGACCAGCCCATCTGGCATTTCGGGCCCAGCCTGCCCCTGATGGAATGTAAAACACAAAAACCAACATTCCTCTGTATAGACTATGGGGTTTTATCTAAATTATTCCATTGGCCTATATACCCCTCATTTCCCCTCTCTCTCAATGCTGCCTATGCCTCAACACAAGCTCCAAACCACACACTCCCTCTCGGCTCTGTATCTCTAGACGTCTGCAAGAGAGAAGCTGACGCGTCCTAGCCTCAGGCAGATCAACGGTGTGGTGGGTTAATGAGAGCCGAGCAGCGGTAGGGTGAAATGAGGCACCAGGTGCGCTGCGGTAGGGTAATGCGACCCGCGGTTGCATTCTCACATAGATAGACACACACACACACACACACAAACACACACACACACACACACACACACACACACACACACACACACACAAACACACACACACACAGATTATAATGAGGTTAGTTTCTCCAGCTTGTAGTTAACTGATATACAAAGGCTCCAGTGACAGAGTTGCTGGTGTGGTACAATGAGAGTACTATAGGTTAGTTCTGCATCCTAATGGAACGCCTTCCTTTCCTTGTCTCCGTTCCTTGTCTATTTTCCTCGTCTCCTTTCCTTGTCTCCTTTCCTTGTCTCCGTTCCTTGTCTATTTTCCTCATCTCCTTTCATTGTCTCCTTTCCTCGTCTCCTTTCCTTGTCTCCTTTCCTTGTCTCCGTTCCTTGTCTATTTTCCTCATCTCCTTTCATTGTCTCCTTTCCTTGTCTCCTTTCCTTCACGACTTCTGATGGTTGAAAGACACAGACTGGATCGGTGGTTAGTGAGGAGAGGACGCAAAATTAGACTATTAGGATGAAGCTCGAAACTGTACAGAAACCAGATATAAAATGACGCTGTCTTAAAAATGCTTGTTTGCTCTCGATTCTGCAAATGTATCCACTGTTTTGTAAAAACAACAACAACAACAACAATTGTAAAATACTACTGTGCCATGTGTTGTACCAGCCATGGTGATAGCTGGCTGTGTTGGAAAAGAAGGAAAGTCTAATACAAAAATGAAGGCAGTGTACAAAACATATTTTTATACTGTCAACGAGTCACTGTCACTATTACACTATTCAACGCTTTTACCAAAAAAAGAAAACCGATCCAAAAAAAACTAAAAACAAACTACAACGAGCAACTCTCAAAATGGAGCACAGGACTGGACATTAACTTCTTCATAACGTTGATGATGGAATTTTTGTACTTTGTATAAAATGGTGTCTTTTCTATAGTTTTGTATTCAGCGGGTTGGACAAACAAACAATCACATGCTTTCCCTGTTAGGCTAAGCCCCAATTGGCACCCTGTTGCCTATACAGTACACTGAGTTGGAGCTCCATGGGCCCTGTAAGGTAGTGCTCTATATAGGGAATCTGGTTCCATTTGGGATGGGTCTTTAGTGTAGTCAGGCAATGAATGCAAAACCCAATTCCTCCAATTCCTTGAAAATGCAGATTCTGTAACTCTTCCTTTGGCCTTATCGTACCTAACTCCTCTGCAATTACGTTCAATTGTGTTTGTGGTGGCTAAAATAGCTCCTACAGTGTTACTTACTACTGTGTACAGGTCAATCTCAAAAAAGCTACAACTGAGATAGGGGAAACTGGCGCTAATGGCCAACAGAATCCCTTCAAATCAAACTCTCACTACCTTCAACATTCAACAATGAAAACAAACAGAAATACCGGTTAGCCTAAATCTACATAAACCATAATTATGGACCACCATCCAGATTTCTAAATAGATCTAGATATGATGTATATCAATGATATATGATGTATATCTATGATAACATCTAGATAAGTATTACCTACTTGTGTCAGCCTTCAAAGCAGAAGACAACAGATTTATATTGGGTTTATATTTGCGAATAATGAATACACCCCTGGTCACTCTGATGGAAACGTTCAACCACGGTGGTGGACACTCTCTGATGGAAACGTTCAACCATGGTGGTGGACACTCTCTGATGGAAACGTTCAACCACGATGGTGGACACTCTCTGATGGAAACGTTCAACCACGGTGGTGGACACTCTCTGATGGAAACGTTCAACCACGGTGGTGGACACTCTCTGATGGAAACGTTCAACCACGATGGTGGACACTCTCTGATGGAAACGTTCAACCACGATGGTGGACACTCTCTGATGGAAACGTTCAACCACGGTGGTGGACACTCTCTGATGGA